ACTGGTTAAGTGCTAACAAAAAGTCTTTAAATACAAGTAAAACTGAATAGATTCTGCTTAAAGCCAAGGTTAAAAAATCCTCATCATCAATTTAAAATAAAATTAAATGGTAAAAAACTTTTATCTCTAAAATGCGCAAACTATCTTGGAATTAAGATTGACGAAAGTTTAACCTATAATGATCATATTATTAATTTAACAGTAACCCAATGCAATTCTGTCTAAACTTAGACATCTTGTTGACAAAAAAAACATTAAAATCTATATATTTTGCCTTATTTAGTTCACACCTCACTTACGGTTGTTTATTTAGTTCACACCTCACTTACGGTTGTTTAGTTTTGGGACAAAGCTCTTCTATCAATAATCGTCTCTCTGTTATAAAGAAAAAAGCTATTCGAATAATAATTTTTTTATCACATAACTCCCACACAATAAATTCATTCAAAGAGCTCCAATTAATAAATTTTTCCAGCTACATAAAAATTGAAAACTTTCTTTTTATTTGCAGTTGCATTAATGATAAGATGCCCTCCATCTTTAAAGAATGGTTTATTTCATTAATACATGCTGATACCCAAACTACTAGCACGTCTCAAATACTTGCTGATACCTAAACTACTAGTATGTCTCAAAGAAGCGGATTGTGTGTTCAAGCTTTTGATACAAAACTTTATGGTAGACATTCCTTCTGCAATTACTGACTCGAATTTCTTACAAATTAAGCTAAATACTTATCATTTCTGTGAACTAAATGAAAAAAGTCGAAAAAAAAAATTAATTATTCTTCTTAAATTAAATAAATTAAATTCTTCTTCTTAAATTTAATTAATTAGAGACATTAGTTTTTCATTAGTATTATAGTGATATTTACATATGGGTACATATTCTATTTTGTTTTCTGCTTTTTTTGTGTGTGTTTTTTTTCTTTTATTCATTTTTATTTTGTTTGTATTAATTTTTTTAAACTTGTTTATTTTCTTCGCCCTTTATGAATTTGTATTGTTTACAAGGTCGCTCTTTTCATTTAAGCCAGGCTATATGTGATTGGTGTCTGCAAAATAAGATGACACAATTGAGACTTGCATCACTTCAATGCATTTTCAAGCCATACTTCTCTAAAATGTAGGAAAATATAGTGTATTAATAGAAGTAATATAAGTATTATAATGCAAAGAAAAGATGTAAATTCATAGAAGAGAGTAAGCGCCACTTGAGTTATCTTATATGGCAAATACCACTAGCCAAGTATGTTATTGAAGTAAATGTGTAAGTTAAATAAATACTATATTTAAAATTTGCATTCTTCTTCACTTTAATGTTCATTAAAAAATCTTTTTTAAGTTATTTAATAAATGGAGTGTGTGTTCTATTTTGCACTTTATTAATGACAACTCAGTAGAAACCATAATGCTTATGTGATTTGTCGGTTTGAGTTTATGATACAAGTTTTATTAAAAATAATTGTTAAATTATAAACAAATTTTTAAAACCCAATTCTTTTATATGTTTATAGGTAACACATTTTATTCTGGTATTACTATTTTATTTTATCAAGCTATTGCGGTTAAATTTATTTTTCATGAAAATTTGCTAATCGCTTACTTTGATTGATAGTATCTGCTTTATATTTATTGATAAATTTTAAATTTAATGCACAAATTTCTTAGCGTTATAAAACTTGTAACCCTCACTAAATTATGGTGGGGTGGGGGAGGGGGTTTCTAACTTTATATAGTCATAATTTTTGAACGCTATGAGATCATTGTATAAAATTTAAAATTTATCGATGAATATAAATTTTTAAGAATAGTACATAAATATTTTTTATCAACTTTTTGCTCTAACTTTTGAGGCAATTGTGTCCATAATATAAGAGCTTTTTCATTCCCAGCCTCCAATCATTGCAAATTTTTGTAAAGCATTTTTGTTAGATGTCTGGCGTTATAAACATTGAATCAACGTTAATCATATACTTTGGATCAATGTGGTGTTATACACATTTAGTCAATGTTGGTCCGTATACATTGGATTAACGTTGATCCCTATACATCGGATCAACGTTGGATTTGATGGATTTAGATCAGAAAAAACATCCCACTTTTGCGATGCCTTTAAATAGCTTGGACCAATGCAGTTTTGCAAACAATTTTGAATCACGTCATATTAAGTTTTCCATTAATATAAATACGATAAAACTAACATTGGATCAACGTTGTTTACATCGCGAACGTCGGCTATTTTCTTCAATGTAAATAAATTTGCATCAAAGCAAATAGCCGATGTTCGTGTTGTATACAACGTTGATCCAATGTTTTAAACCAGTTATTTAACATATTAACAATTTTCAAGTTATTATCCCTACTATGTTGTAGGTAAGTTGGTGCATCTTTAAAAAGATGGCTATCAAAAAAAAAAAAAACATTAAATTATATCTAAATTTCCATTTGAAAAAATGAGTCACAAGGGGTAAGCAACATATGTCATATATGTCATATTGCCCTAATTTCAGAGTTAAAAGAAAGAGCTGATTTTGGCCATAAAGGCCATAAAGGGTGCTGCAGTTGATGAGGCTCCTTTTTATTTCAATTGTGGTTATAACCCCCTCTCAACTCATTAACTTCGAAGTATTTCAATAAAGTACATGTCAAATATATTTGTGTGTAGTTTTTGTATATGATATGTGATATGATATAGTTTTTAAAATTGATAAGTTATACCAATATATATATATATATATATATATATATATATATATATATATATATATATATATATATATATATATATATATATATATATATATATATATATATATATATATATATATATAAATAAATATATATATATTGTCATAGTACTGTCATTTACTTATTCTCTTATCTTTCTAACCGAAAAACTAATTAATCTTATATTTTAATAAAACTCATGTCAAGTTAAAATATACATTTTTTGAATGTTATTATTTTTCTTCAATTTTTAAGTGCAGAGTTAAAGTACTAAGTTATTAAGGTGTTTAAAATCAGAACAAGTTGACTTAAATATACATAATCACATTATTTAATCTTAAACTTAAACTTAGCAATAAAATATTTGAACGAGTTTACACTAAGAATTGGTAACAAAGGTTTTGCTCAACAGTTTGTGAGTTTGATTTCAATATGTTTATTATGATTTATAGAGCAAAACCTGGACATTATATTTTAACGCCCATCTTTTTAAACAGCAAAAAATTTACAATCACTTTATTAAAATGAATCTAAATCATTTGCTGTTACAAATTATGTCATTTATTCAGCCTATAAATATTTTTAAACATTTTAGATTGGTTGCAGCCTAACAAAATTGTGAAAAAACAATATTGAATAATTCTAATGTTTTAAAATTTTATTTCCGTTACAAAATTTAGTGAATAAAAATGTTTTATATTTATGAGTTTGCCATGATTGCTCTGATTGAATTATGGTAAAATACTTATTCAGTTCTAACTGTTTATTAAATAAGCTTGGGTCTTTAAGGCTTGACCTTGGTGAATCCAGTAAAATATATTTAAATAAGATCTTATGCGTAAAACACTTCAATGTGCTTTTTTTATATATTTTTTTCTTTTTTAGGCCAACTCTCACGTGCTGGCGGAAAGTTACCAAAATATTGGATAAGTACTTAATTCAGAAGTAACTTTTGTATTTCTTTATTTATATTTTAATTTGTTTTATGTATGTTCAAAACATTGCAGGCATTATGAATATATGCAAAGATTTAGTTGATTATTATTTTAACATAACTTTAAATGAGTATACATATTGCATGTTAATATTTATATAACACATTAGCAAACTAATACAAATGGCTATAAAAATGATATCAATAGAACATTTTGAAGTATTTTAATTATAAAAGTTCATTTCTTAAAAGTTAAAAAATGCTAATTTGAATTATGAAAATTGTCAAAATTTTTATAAAATGTTTGTATTTATAATACTATAAAGTATCCATGTCAAAAGTATTAAAAATATTATTAACAATATATGAATAAATTGTTATATATATATATTTATATATATATATATATATATATATATATATATATATATATATATATATATATATATATATATATATATATATATATATATATATATATATATATATATATATATATATATATATATATATATATATATATAATCCGAAGTTATATTAAATAGTTTTTAAATTATAATAGCACATATTACGGACAAAACTTCTAAAGACAAAAAAACGCATATTGCCTTAAAAGCCAAAGTGCCGATCTGCCGATTATTTTTTGCCGTGGCCAAATTAACGGATTTGGCCACGAAGTGGCCAATCTGGCAACCCTGATTCAAATTAAATTAGCAGAATCAATTCATTGGTTATGCATTAATGCTATTAAATTGGTTTGGATGACTGGATTATAAGGCTGTGGATTATTATGGTCCAACATTCATAACATATAATTTACACAACCTTATTCATTTTTTATAGTTTTCTGAATGATTACTTCTTGATATGTCTGCCTTTTTATTTAAAAAATTATTGGCTTTTGGTAAGAAGATGCCACTTGCTCAAATGGTCAAGGGTTTAAGTGAAACATAAGTAGTTCGGATTGGAAGAAAAGACACTTAACAAAGTAATCATTAGTCTTAAAGAGAGCTATTTATAAAAACAATTTTCGATTCTTTGCTTAGTGAAAATGTACCATTTCAGTTTCTTTATTTACCATGCAATTCATGTTATAAAAAATATATTGCCAAAATGACACATGTAAAAAAATATCTTTCCAGAAATCTGAACTCAAAGATATTTTATATCTTTTGAGGGTAAAACTAGACATATTTTTTTTTTCCACCATTTCATGATTGTGTGTTTTAATTTAATTTTGTATATTTATTCAATTAAAATTATTTTGGAGGCAATTTCATTAATTTTGCATTTTATTGAAGTATTGTTTATTCATTTTCAGATAATGTTGCTAAACAAATTACAGTCGATAATCTTTCGAAAGCAGAAAAACTCAGGTTAGCATCAAATAGAAAGTTAGCGCAATTTCTGGTATTTGTGGTATTTCTATTTGTTTATTCCGAATGTTTTTTATTTAGTTCCTAAAAATGCTTTTAATTGGATTTGTTTGTAACTTTATGTTTCTTCATATATATTTGTCTTTTAGTGTCAAACAAAGAATACGCGAGTTATTTGAGATATGATTGAAATTTGCAAAGAAAGTAAAAATCAAACTAGTTTCATTCTAAGTTATTGTATATAATTTTAAAATTTTGGAATAGAAGTGATGCAATATTTATTTATTTTTAGTCTTTTAATTTCCGTATTCAATATTTACCTGGACTAATATAATAATCGTTTATAACCTAAATAAATAAGAGGAAATATAGCTTGACAGCGCAAAGTTATACAATGTAAAATTTTCCTTTATTGTTTTTTGCAGTGTAGAAATAACATCAAAAATGATAGAAAAACGTTGGAGGGCGTTTTTCTTACAACGTTTCGCAACATTGTTAATATAACGTTGACCTATATTTCATATATGCCATTATTCCAACGTGTATAAAACGATAGAAAAGACGTTGGCTCAACGTCATTTTAGCTAAAATATAACGTTAGCCTAACGTCCTAATAACGTCTTTTTTCTTCAAATTTAACGTTGCTCTAACGTCTTTCCGCGTCTTTCCTACGTCTTTTAGCTAAAATGTAACGTTGTCACCACGTCATTTTACATCGTTGTAATAACGTTAGTAAATGACGTTTTTTCGATGTTTCATTTATAACATCATGCCAATGTCTTTCCAACGATACGAAAGACGTTAGAACAACGTTGTTCCGACGACATTTTTATTATTGGTCTAATACATTAACCCCTTAACTGTGGCGTAAATTTAAACATCGCGTTGTTATTTACGGCAAAATATTTTTGTTAATGATCGCTTTAAGTTGTCAAATTTACTTTCGTTTAGTACGCTAAATTTGTATAATAAAAAAAAAAAAAAAAAAATTGCATTTCTAATTTTTTGATAACAATATTAATGAAGAACTAAAATTTTTACAAATTTTAATAAAAAGATAAAACTCAGATTTGTAAAACACTAAGAATATAATAACAAAATATTAATTATTTACAAAAACCTTTAAAGTTTTCTTTTGTATGGCAATACTTAAAACAAGGCACAACACATAAACCAACATTACAGTCTACACACATATATCGGGTATCTGATCTAACTTTGTTTTCAGAACAGACAACACACCTTCTACATGGTTTTATATTTTTTTCTGTTGCTGGTATAGCATCGACAAAATGACGTTCTACTAATCTTAAAGGAGATGGTAATACTCGAGTTCGACTTCTTTTTTTCTCAACTGATTCATGGTACTTGACAATACTCTCTTTAATAATGGACTCTCTAAACTGCAAGGATGTCATATTAGGTGATATTTTATTGTTTATAATATTTGCATTGAATGCACTAACACTAATCAAATGCATGAAAATCTTTTTGTACCATTTTTTCACCCTTTTTCTTTCGGATTTGTATGTTGTTAACATTTGATCAGATCGATCAACACCACCCATGTTTTTGTTATACTCATGTATCACAAGAGGAATATTTTTTTCTTTACCAGCTCTATTAACAACGACTGTATCATTTTGAACACAGGTACTCAGCATGTGTACATCTTTTTTGTCTTTCCATTTGGTACACATTATATTTGTTTTAGTATCAAAACGAACTAAAGTATCGCCAGTTTTAATCTTAGCATTTTTTATATCTTGTGGTAACTGTTTTCGGTTAATACGTAATGTGCCAATGCAATCAGTATTATGATCCAGTAATACCTTGCAAATTTCATAAGATGTATACCAGTTGTCAACATGTAAACAATAGCCATTACCAATTAAATTATCCATTAGCGTAATAACAATTTTAGTAGCTTGATACTTGTATTTGTGCATGTCAAGAGCAAAACCGTCAGTCATTTCCTTACCAGTGTACAAGAAACAATTCCAAATATACCCAGTAGCTGATTCACATAATGCAAAAGACTTCATTCCAAATCTGGAACGTTTGCTTGGAATGTATTGCTTCCAGCTTAGGTGACCTTTCCAAAGCAGCAACGATTCGTCGATCGATATATTTTTATTTGGTATGTACAGAGTTTTGAACTTGTTTACTAGGTAGTCGTAGATGGGTTCAATTTTTGCTTTTTTACAGGAATGTATTGGTAAACTACTGTTATCAACAAAATGAAGAAACTTCTCAATAAGACAAAACTTATCAAAAGATAACACTTTTCTTATTAAAGGTGTGTCAAACAGAGGATTTGTTGAAAAATACATTGCATTTGTTGGTTTCCATAGGATTCCACGATATAAAATGAATGCTATATAGAGTCTGATGTCAGCTCTGACTAAAGGTGTCCATTTTTGAACTCGAGATCTACCTTTAATTACATTATTTTTTAGATATTGTACTGCGAAAAGGTTACTTTGCTCGACAATAAGATCAACAAGGTCGTCTGTTACAAATGCTTCAAATATAGTAAGAGGACTGCTATTAACTAGAAAACTTGGATCAGGTCCTGGATTACCTTCAAATTTAGCAGAACTTGCTTTATAACCATCTATTTTTATCCAATTTGGTTCATCGTTTGTATTTTTTTGATTTAATTGCATAACATCAATGTCAACAAGGCTAGTTTCACTATCATTATCTGCTGATGTACACATAATTTCTTCTTCTGTAACAGATATAATTGAACCTTCATTAGAAGAAACACTATTAGAACTGAGATCAGATAATTCATCATTTTCTCCTGTATATTCAACTAGATCTTGAACAGAATATTTACTTCTTTTAGGATAAGATTTTCTTGCCGCAGCCATGCTTACTTTTTCACTAAACTAAAGCATTGTTATATCAAGCTAATAGCTATACTTTGAAAAACTCTAGAGTACAAAATGAAGACCATACTTTTGTTAAAAGCTATAACATAATAGGAATAAACAAAGAACCATTTAACATATCATATCTGATCTGTTGTTTAACTCATATAAAAAACGGATATATGCGTCAGTCACAAACGGTGCAACAGTTCCAAAATGCGGAAATATCCGTCAGACACACATAGAGCTACACCAATGAAAGACGGATATATCCGTCAGACACACTTAAGGGGTTAACATTTAGTCAAAAATTAGTATAAGTAAATTAATCTTTTTCTGTTGCAGAATAAGCTTCTAATTTAATAAGTTTGATAATAAATTAGTATTAGTAAAAGTAGTCAATAGTTAACTAAAGAGTTATTAATTTGGTCTATAATAGTTTAAATGAAAATAATTTGTTGTTAAAACAATGTAATCCTAGCATCTAAATAATAAAAATTTAAAAACATAACGGAATTTTTAACGAGTTGTTAGCGACTTATAAAAAATTTTCCTTTTTCCAGTAATTTTTCTCCATTGTAATTAAATAAAGTCGTGGAAGCATTAAACAGATTTATATTCCTGTTTTATACTTCCGTGATTGAATCATTAAACTTTCTTGACGCCATTTTTAAAAACCCAAAATAATAAATCTCATGGCTCACCCTACATCATTGATTCGCTAAAATGGCCATGAAAAATTTTAATATCAACATAAATGTTTTCTTTTATTGACATTATTGTGACATTATTGGGACCTAGAATAAGATAAAACTGGCAAAAAAAAGCTAATTTCAATTTGAACAAATTCAAATTGAGAAAATCATTACTAAGTGGAGAAGGTACAATTATATTAGGAGGAGAATTTAGTAGGTTTTTGAAATTATCAAAGTTTCTAGTTAAAACAAGAATAAACTTGGGGGTAATAAGTAAAAAGTTGAACACTTGTTAAGTCGAACTTTTTTTATATCGAAATGTTTTCTATAGTCCCTTGAAAGCAAGAACATTTTTACTTAGCTTAAGGTTAACTTTCGTTTAGTTAAACTGTTATTCTTGGTCACTTGGAAGGTCGAGTTAACGGAAATATACTCAATAATACATACTAAGAGTTTTAATAGTTATTATATAAGCTATAAACTTTAATAAGTTTCAAGTTACTGTAAAAAATTATTACAATACAATATTAACCCGTTCAATAATGAATATTTATAAATTTTCAATCTATTTTAAATATAATTTACCTCATTCTTCTAGATTTGTCTTCTTGTTAATAATATTATAACTAACCGATAAACTGTCGACGTTGTACCTGTCGAGTATTTTTTAAGTAACCTTATAAAATAATTAATTATGCTTTATACTTTTTTGTTACCATTAGAGTTTCTAAAAACACTTTTGTTGCTGTGTACCAGCTTATAATTAGCCTAAAAACTGCGTCGAGCGATTGATAAGTGACTTGTATTTATAATGAATAAATAACTATATGACTTTTACTTCACATTAAATGTTGGTTAATTGAATGGTTTATTCAAAATTAAATGAATTGTTTTCAGACGGATATATAACTTTAACTCACTATCTAGTAAAAAATGCATGAAGTAGTACCTAATTTTATATAAGCTAATTATTAGTTTGTTTTTTTTTGTAATTGCATAAGTTTTTGTCATGTAAATGCGTTATTTTTTGCTCAAATAGTATTGTTTTCGGAAGTTTGATAAATATTTAAAACGCAAAGATTAAAAACCATTAAAATTAAAACAAAATAAACTGAATAAAGTTTTCAATAAAAATTTTTAGAAGTTTTGATATAAAGTTAATAAATAAAAATTTCATCGCAAACTACTTTCTAGCTTGATCAAAAATGTTACTAACCCTAAGAAAAGTATAGTTCAGAAATCACCTTCACACCTTACATATATCAATATGGAATTGCGTATACTAATTTTGAGACCATTTCAGACAGCTTTTTCAAGATTTGGAGAAAGTTCTTGTCTTTAGGATAATTTATATATATATATATATATATATATATATATATATATATATATATATATATATATATATATATATATATATATATATATATATATATATATATATATATATATATATATATATATATATATATATATATATATATATATATATATATGTATGTATAATGTATCAATATTTAATATATCTATAATGATAATAATAATGTATAATGCTGGTTAACTAAGGCAATACCTTTTATATGCAGAGCGTCATGTCAATTAAAACGACTGCGTCAGTTGCCGAAATAGGAAAAAGAATAATGACTTTATTCAAATATGCACTTGACAAATCGAATGGTGGTGGTCGTTACAAAAC